AATTCCACACCTCCCTGGGAGTGGCTGCAGTGAGCTAATTGGTTTTACTCGGCTGTGCATGGCTTCACGGACCAGACTCCAGATTTATTGCACAAAGTCAAGTCATGGTGTGAATTCATCATTTGTCCCCCATGTCAATCCCTTTCTCCTCCAGAATTATATTTGTCTGTGTGTTTATGTGCTGTCAGGTCCGAGTGAGATGAAAGACAAACTCTGGGATTAACCAATTTTAGTACCAGACCAAAAATCAGAATGAATTATTGCCTTTTCAGCAAGACATGACTTCAGACAGCCCAAATCCAGAGGAGTGGGAGAAGGGCTTTTGCCAGCACAGGCTTTTATAGGAGGGGAGGAAAAAAGATCCTACAGAATTTAAGGATTTTAGAACATGCTGGTTTCAGAACAAATCCTTATCTGAGAAGGGAAGCGAAGTGTGTAACAATCAGCCATAGAAATCCTGGTGAATGGTCTTTAGAAAGCACTCTGGAAATTAAGGACTTCAAATGCAACCATTGAAAGTGAAGCTAAATTAAATACAGGAGAATATGAGTAAATGCTACAGGTACAGGTCAAGCACTGCTTTATCAATCTTGTGTTTACTCCAGCAGCTCCTCCGTTGCCCATTGTTTTACCTTGTTTAAATAGATATGCTTCTCTTTATTTGAAAATCAATTGTAATCTTATGAAAGAGAACTTACAGCAGAGGGAATGCTGGAAAGCAGCATAGTGAAAGATGTTCATTATCCTGAATTACTCCAGGGTAGGGAGGGAATGACATTAAAGAAGTGTGGGTAGCTTTGTGCTGCCATCCTTCCTTTAGCAGGTGTAATTTACTGTCATTACTTAATTTCATTAAAGGTAAAGACAATTGTGGACAATACACATTACAGCATTTACCTGTAATAATAGTTGTGGAGGAGTGTGAGAAAGAGGAAATTCAGGATCAGCTTTGAATTCCCAGTAGCTGCTTATTGGTAGCTGATGAAAATTGTTCTGTTCTTCATAGCACCTCTCTCCAAGATTTCCTTCTCACCCTGAATAGCTATGAATGGCTCCATTAATTCCAGTGAAGATGCTCTGTTCTCATCAGAAAAATACTTTGCTTTGTAAGCATAATAGGCAATGTCCAATCTAAATGCTGCTTAGGACTGATAATTTCCTAACTATACCTAACAGAGGTCAACAACTGGCTGAACTCCTGGATTGCCCAGTATATACTGAGCATTGTGGTATTTACCCTAATGGAAAACCTCTATAGGCTGTTGTGATCTTCCTCCAGGCTCTGTATTGGCACGTGCTTGTGTATTTATGATTTTTAATATACCTCATATTTTAAAATATGTCGCATAAGCTTCATAACTATGGGCTGAAAAGAGGTGCTGTGATGGCTCTTAGAGAAGCTGCTGTAAAATCTGTTGGTGATTGTGGGGGACTTTTCCATGTAACCCCAACTCGTTGGCAGCACCTGGGCTATGACCTACTAAAGGTGTTCAGCAGCCTGTAGGACTGGCCCTCTTAAAAATCTTAAATACACCCGATGGCTTACTCTTGGTGAGTTAATTCTACAGGGCATAAAACAGATGCTGGGTCAAAGATTTGAGGTGGTTTCACATTGCTTAATTCCTTTGGAATTACAGTATGGTACTATGTTGTCATCAGTGCAGCCACCTCCTAAAAGAGATCGGGGGCTCATCAGCTTGTCATTGCAGCCATGCCACAACATTAATTTAATGTAATGGGCAGTAACTAGTGTGGATTCAGGGAGATATGATCCTGTTTAACTAATCTCCTTCAGTTCTTCGGAGCGGGTTTCAGACGAGGTTGATAATAGAATGTACATATGACATAATCTAATGGATGTTTCAAGAGGCTTTTGATAAATTTCCATATATTTCCTGTGCTTAAGCTGTGTGCCACAGAGACTCCAAACTGGGCAGGAGAATGGGTAAAGAACAAGTGAAATCATGGGAAATAAAGAGAAAAGAAGAGCTGTAGCGGGTACTGGAATTAGAATTATCCTGCAGCTTCCCACTGTTCTTCCCCACCACTCGGCATGGCTGGAAAGAGATGCCATCTGCATTCACTAATGAAAACTTGTTTAGGACAGGTGCATAATAGAAAAGAGGGCAAGATGCCATTCAGGATACCACTAAAGGGCAAATTTAAATTTACATTAGCATAAGGCAGATTGAATATTTTTCCTGTCAGTGGTGAAATAATATATACTAAATATAGGCATCCGTAAGTGGAAGATGCCAATGGATGGAGATGGGTTACAGGGGAAACAGACTCTTGTGCTAACAAAGGAATGATTTATTATCATTTACACAACCTGGCATTTGTGCACACCAAAGGCCAGATTTTAGAAGTGCTCTGCTCCTGCAGTTTGGGGCCAGGATTTCGGTTACAGACTCCGAGCCAGCCGCTCCCAGCATTTCCCCAGTGTTTAATTTGCCATATGCCAATCAGAGTGTTGATTTGCAAGTGCTGCTAAAAGGCAACGCTGAGAGATGAGGACAGTTGAAAATTTGGGAATGTGTCTTACTGGCAGCTTTTGAGCCCCAAACACTGGAAGTATTCACAGGCCAGGATCTCTGATCAGCTGTGTGATAAATCAGGGACTGGAAAGCAGGAAAGAATGCAGCTAATGTATCAGGATATGCTTGAACAGGACATGCTCCATAAAAATCAGTGCTAAATGAGAGAATTAAGCACCAGGAAAGTCTGTGGCAAAATCACAAGAAACACTTCAAATAATGAGACAAAATCAAATCAAAGGCAAGAAAGAAGGAAAATGAAGTAAAATCACTGAAGAAGCAATAAAATGCCATCACTGAAATCTGAGTGAGGCAAAATACCTTGGGATAAAGGGACATAGTCATCCTAAAAAATTTAGACATTTTAGTCTGCCATTTTCCCCTGCTGTTGACAATTAACTCTCTCATTGCTATAACTGAACAAGCATATCAAGAACACTTTTTTGTTTCCTTCCTTGGAGCATTTGCTGAAGCTTGTGACTGTGTGATAGCAGGGCTGAGAGGTGAAACTAGATTTTGAAGGGTTCAGGAAAGTATTCACAGTTAAAAAAAAATAGGAAGACCAGAAAAAAGGGATGTGAGAAAGAGATGTGTTGCTCATTACCTATAACCCCTCTCCATGGGACAGGTTTTCCAGTCAGCCTGGTGACGTAGGGGAGAAGGGAGGTAGCCACAAGGATGGACAGAAAGCTCCCACTGTGACCACTCCTGTCTTTTATTTGCAGTATTCAGGAGAGGTTCCTGAGAACAGAGTGGAGGTCGTGGTGGCAAATCTGACGGTGATGGACCGGGACCAGCCTCACTCCCCCAACTGGAATGCCATCTACCGCATCATCAGCGGGGACCCCTCCGGCCACTTCACCATCCGGACAGACCCCGTCACCAACGAGGGCATGGTGACCGTGGTGAAGGTAAGGGGAAAGCCAAAGCAAATCCATGTTTATCACCCTTTCAGCTACTTAAGGCTACAGGCATTGCCAGGCACCTGAAGTTATTTCATGCCTTCTCTGCCTGGAAAGATAAGTGCTTGGATCTGTTGTTTATCATCTCTCTGTGCAGGAGTCCTGAATAATCTCACTTCAAGCATATGGCCCTGGTTCTGGGTTTCCCACCTCAGCCCAGCCCACCATGAGCTTTCAAAAAGCCTCACATGCTGAAGGGTCCTCCCAGCACCCAAGCCTGACTTCCACCTCCTGCTTCTGCTTAGCTCTTTGAGCACTGTAAGAGGGAACAGACTTGGGCTGTGCAGCCCTGCCCTTCTTGAGCCAGAAAACCCCTGGTTTGCTGTGAATCAGGGGTAGTGTTTCACTGCAGGGCTCAGTCAAGTGATCCTCTGTGAAAGCAGGGAGTGCAGGGGAGATATCAGGAGGAGTGAGTTTTCTGGTGACAGAAGGAAAGGAGATTTTCCCTCTGACTGAGTTGCTTGGAAGGAAAAAATTTAGAGAAGTTTTTTTTTCCTGGTGTTAAGTGATAAACACAGAGTATGGGACAAACCCTCAGCTCAGGATAGCTCCACTCAAGTGAAAGCCACCCCCTAGGTTAGATCAGCAGAGGATCTTGTCTAAAAACTCTGAGAAATAAGGCTGTAAATATCCACCATCCCTTCTTCCCTCCATTTCCTACAAGAACTGGAAGCCTCAAGGTATCTGCAGCAAGTATCAAATTGTGTTTCCTTCCCTACCTCCAAAGAACATGACTTTATCTTCACTTGAGCATTCGCTTCTCTTTCGGTTTCTGAGGCCAGGGAGTGTTTCTGCAGTCATTACACACAGCCAGAACATCACTGGATCCCTTCAGCATTCACTGAAGCCCTTCCCAGATAAGATGCCTGTGGATGCTCCCTCTAATACAGAAAAAAGCAAAGACATCACACATAGGCTGTTGTGATATGTAGGAGCTGCACAACACCGTGCACTGCACCTGGGAAGGATAATACCCACTGTGATGGATAAAGCCAGCATCTTCTGATAAGTCTGGCCTTCTCTAACAAAAAGTTTTAATCAGAAACTTAGGATGAAGTGCTAGTGTTTAAAGAGCAATGTGATTTAAGAATAGCTCTTTGTTGAAAAAAGAGCCCTGCTTCCCTCTTATTAGCTAAACAAGTTGCAGTCATTCCTAATGTGCACAGTTTGGGTATTAGGAAAAATGACATCAGTGAAATACCAGTGAGGTTACACTGGTAGGAATGTGTGAGCTTGTGAGCCTGTCCTGTTGTCTGACCCTTAGGCTATGTGTGTGTGTATGTCTGCAGATGTTGCTTTGCTGAAACTTCAAGGGAGACATCATCTTACCTGCCAGATGGTATTTCGGCAGGGCCCTTTTATTTGTCACTCTTTATTGCTCTGTAATGATGGTTGACAGCCTTACCTGGTACAACATTACGAAACCTCTTCAAGCTTAGCAGTAGCTCTAGACATGTGTATGTGGGTGCATATATGTGTTTAAGTGTACACATATCCATATCTCTATACGTTTGCTTAAACAGAAAATACTCAACAAAGTAAAATGCTAGAATTTAGCTTCCATTGACATCAGCAGCCAGTCTGAAATCAAAATGCCAATGTTTTCATTGCAAACAGAGGAGGACCCCTTATTTTTAATATAGCAAAGTGTCAGGACTTTAGTTTAAAGGCACCTCAAAGTGAGCAACAGGGGATTTGCATGATCATCACTGCTGCACAAGGACTTGTGCATAATGAACCATCCCTTATTCAGGACATGCAGGCAAAACACTGGGCAGATTTGTCAAGACACCACTGATGCTGGTGTTGACTTTCCACTGCTGTGTAACCCACAGTGATCACAATGCAGAGAACCACATGAAAATCCCATCTTGTCAAGTTGAGCTCAGAGCTTGAAATTGCACTGGATGTCTTCACTATCTCACCTCACCTGATCCTCCTGGGCGCCCAGAGTTTCCTACCCCTGTCAAGCCAGGAGGCTTTTTGGTGTATTTTCAGCAAGGAGAATGAGCAAAATTGCTTGTGATTAAATTTTCATGGTGAAGAAGGGAAGACTCTTAGGATTCCACCCTCTTCTTTGAAATATTTTGTTCTCTATTAATAAGTGAATATGCTTAAAGATCTGGGTGATGTACGCACGTCAGCCTGGGTGGCCAGTCAGAGCTTGTTCTTCACAGTGTAGGAGCAGTGTCTTGCTGGTTTGATTACAGATGTAGGTTGAAAACACAGGTAAAAAATTAAGTCAACTGATGAACCATTTATTTACAGACCGTACATGGCTGGATTTTAATGTGGCTCTTTAAAGCTGCTTGCATGTAACTACTCACTGCTGCAAGCAAAGGGACTTGTGTCTGGGCCACAGCAGTCACAGCAACAGAGCAGAGAAAGGTGTTCTGTGAAGAATCCCACCACTTCACTAGAATTTGGGGGCCTGAAGTGGAGAGCCAGAAATGTTTCCAAACCAAAAAGCCCTTTGGAGTTCAGATGATGCTCATGGGGGCCATATGGCAGCTGCCCTCAGCAAAACCCCATCTGCAGCTCCAATCTGATCACCAAAAGTGTAACATTTCCCTTTTCTGTTCTCGCCTTTCCAAACCATTTCTATAACTGTGCAAGACCCTAATCTTCAAAGAAAACCTTGATCAAGGGGAGAGAGAAACTTCCCACTCAGATGAGACACTGCAGAGTCTGAAGACAATCTCCCAGAGCAGCAGTGGCTGCCCTGTGGCAGCCAGCTAAGTAAAATGTTATTATAAACTCTGCATGGATCAGAGCTGTGAATTTCTAATGGAGATGCTGCCGAAGCTTCAGTTATTATTTGCCTCAACTACAACATCAGGCAAATTTGTTCACTTCAGTTAAAAGTACCTTGAGAAAAGGAGGACACGTGGCAAGCCCTTGGTATCCCGCTGCTGCATCCAGGTTGGAGATGCTCGTGAAGGAGGAGGATGTGCAGCATCTCCAGGGGGATATTTCACAGCCGCTTGTGCCATAACAAACATCCAACAAGGGATATCTGCAAAAGTGCTGCTTTTTAATTTCGTGTCAAGCGCTTCTTGGACATGAAAGTAAAAAGCAGGCAACAGTTTAACACTGTCCCAAGTGTCCAGGTCCTTGTCCCAAATGCAGGGACTCTGTGGGCTTTTTCAGGATCCTGTTGTCATAGAATCAAAGAATCATTTTAGTTGGAAAATACTTTTAAGATCATCAAGTCCAACTGTTAACCTACCTGGTTTTTTTTCAACAAAACTGTGTGAAATAGGACTCAGATGGGCACAGAAGAGATGGAGGCAGACCATCTCTGTCTTGCAGACTGAAGTGTGGTGGACACTGTGCCACCATGTACCAGCACGTGACACTTATGGCTCCTGGATGGGATGGGTGATCCCAGTGCAACCCTGCTCCCTGCAGGGCTTTTCTGCAGCCCTGGGTTTGTTGCTCCCAGAAGAGAGAGGAAGAATCTGAGTAAACAGCTCTACATTTTGGGGAGGAAAAAACCACTATGTTGTATCAGGCCACATCCTAGCAGAGGTGTGTGTGGTCAGTGTTGTTCTGAGCATCAGCAGCTTGGAGTTTCCCACATCATTCCCCATGGAGCTGCTGATCTCAGCCCCCTTGCTCCCTCTGAGCCCCTGTGGGGAGGGAGGTGCAGACTGGCTGTGGGCAGGTTAGCAAACAGGCCAGTATAAAAAAAAAGAGAGAGAATTAATATTGTAGGAATATAAATTTGAGGGTTGTGAAAAGAAATTGAGGAAACACATTAGTCAAATTGTTTCAAGGCCTTGAACAGTGTTTAACTGGGAACTTTTACAATGCATCATTTTTGAATGCGGTACAAGTCTGTGAGTCAGCAAGGGTGGGTGTACTGGGAATCTTTATGCTTCCTTTTATTTATTAAATGTTGGCCCTGCCTGTCAGGAAATCATTTAGCAATGGGAACATTTGCACTTCAATCGAATAGAGATTCCGCTGTTTTACCTCTTGCCCCTGAAATTTGTTTCTCTCGTGTAGCCTCCTAAGATTTGATTTCTCTCCTGACAATACTGAGTATTAAACAGGACATGGCAGCCAGATCTTGCTGATGTAAATGAGACCAGCCCTGCCGAAGTCAGTGGTGTTTTACACCCTGAGTGTTTGCTTTGCAGACTCAGCGCTGGAGAAGGTATTAGGGAGAGTGGTTATGCTTCTAAATTTATAAATCACGGCAAAGCGTTTTTTAACAAGCAGAGGTGTGATCCTGCATAACTCAAGCCTCCCTGGCAGATGATTAGCAACTTCCCTCGTAATAATTAGTGGGATGGTTTAGAAATTATTATTATTATACTGGGTTCAGTCAGTCGTGCCAGCAAAGGCTTTTCACTCGTCTGACTCCTGAGACACATCCTCTTCGTGTGCCTGCTGAGGAGAGATCTGTGACCTCCCAGCAGCAATACCCAGCTGTAGGAGCGTGCAGAAAACCTCGGGGGATAAGGAGGTGCCTTGCAGGAGGACCAGAGATCCCACTGGAAGGACCACCTGCTTAACCAGGCCAGGCGTTGTTCCTGGCAGCTCCACCGTTGCTTGAAAACTCATTTAAGAGAGAAAATAAAGAGCCCTTCAGGCTCATGGGTCCGCATAGACCGTCCTAGTTACAAAGTCAGCAGTTTTCAGTGCTAATAGCACTGCTAAGTACCCGTCCCATCCCTCTTAACAGGCTCCACCTGTTGCATTAGAGCAGCCCTGGGTGGGTTTGTTCATTTGATGCTCCACTCTCACAGGAAGGTTCTCTTTTGGAAACCACTTAGCATTGGAACAAAAAACAGGGCAAATCCTCCCTGCTGTTTGAAATTTTTCCTTTGTGGATTTTGTTTTAATATTTGACCCTTCAAACACTGGAAGGCCAAATCCTGCACTGGATTGAAGCTGGTCTGGATTTGCACCTTCGAAAGAACTGAGCTCAGGAGGAGACAAGATGAGGCAACAACTTTGATATCTGCCTTCTAATGTTGCAGCTTTCAGCCAGAAGGTAGAATTCATTCTCTGCTTGGCTCTATACTTGCTTGTTTGTTTGTTTTAGGCAGTCGATTACGAGATGAACAGAGCTTTCATGCTGACAGTGATGGTATCAAACCAAGCTCCCCTGGCCAGTGGCATCCAGATGTCCTTCCAGTCGACAGCAGGAGTCACCATTTCAGTCACAGATGTCAACGAAGCACCGTATTTCCCAACGAACCACAAGTTAATCAGGCTGGAGGAAGGGGTGCCAACAGGAACAGTCCTGACGACGTTTTCAGCGGTGGATCCCGATCGCTTCATGCAGCAGGCAGTAAGGTGGGACACCAGGCAGCCCAGGGCGCTCCCGTACAGGTGGGGGGTTCAGCTGCAGAAGTCTGGGGAGCCAAGCAGCTGAAAGCTAATTTCCAAACTAACTGATGTGATATGAATGAAATGCCTGGCAGGGACTGGCACCTGCAGTCGGGTGCTTGCAGAGTATCCTGCAAGCCTGTAAACTCACAATCCTTCCCGCTCCAGATAAGCCAGACTCTGAGCAGCTGGGTCTGGGAGGGCAGTCAGAGTTGGATCCCATGTTGCTGGCTTGCCATAGGGCAGATCACACCTTCAAATGAAGCAGTTGATAACAAGAGGTTCCTGACTTGTTACAGAGGTCAGGACTGCAGTGTACCCTTTACCTCTGCCTTGCCTGGGATGCTCTGACCTGTGTTGTTTGTGCACTTCATAAACACAGAGGTTTAGAAAAAGGCAGCTTTGTTATTTCTGTTTTTCAGGTGGGGAAACTGAGGCACAGAAAGGGCTAGGCCTGGATTTTCGAAGGGAATGGCTGGGATTTTTAATCATGCCTTGCGTTGCTTTCAGAGGATTTAGGTTCAGCCTGGCTTAAAAGTGCAGTGGGAGAAGAGCTGTCAACCCGGTTCAGTGCAAGGCTGGCGAGGTTACAAACAGCTGCTGGGCAGGCTTTTAAGGTGTCATATAGTTGAGTATTGCCTGAGCAGTCAAACACCCATTCACAAGCCATTGGCACTTGGTCTGTGTCTCACTAAAGCTCCCCAGCAGCCCTTCCCTGCTCTCAGTAAGTGCAATTTGTTCTGACCTTCCATTTCTCTTCAGACGAGCTGCCAAACACAACCTCCTCCTTAGCTGCTTTCCCTATGAAAGGGATTTAGCTGGCGAAATTTTAGCTTCGTAAAAGTCAGATCTAAGCATTTTAAGAGCACTTTTAGTCTGTGCTGTGACCAGGAGGATGTCACTCACTCTGTTTTGCCCCACCTGGGCAGACAGGGGACTGAATCCACAGTCCTCGAGTGAGACTGACACGCCTTCCCACCGGGAAATAATTGGCAGAAAAGTGTGTGTGAAAATGAGAGTCCTTGTGACACTTCCACAATTATTTCAGGTCTGTCTGTGCAGACGGGAAATGGAATTTCCTGCTTTTGGATACTTCTACATCCATAGAAATTTGTTTCTTTTTTACTCCCAGCCTGTAAGGACTGCAGTATTTTTAGCAAAACCTGAGTAGACGATGTGACCACAGCTGAGGCCACTTAAACTTACATCAGTTGTGACATTTTGTGTCAGGAACAGTTTGAAATATTTCACCTGGCACAGAGCTGTCTGGTCTAGGAAATGATAGTTTATTCACTGCCTCATCTTGTTGTCTTTAGACAAGTATTGTGACTTTGGAGGAGAGAGACCATCCTAACTAACAAGCCCATTTTTCTTAGGTTCTTTTTGAAATATTGGCCTTTGAAGGGTCTTTATTTCCCTGATGTCTGTACCAAGGCTGGTTTTAAGAGGAGAGAGCAGCTCATTTCTGATTGAGTGCTCTCTCTAAGGTGGAGGTGGGTGATCTGTAATCCAAATGAGCACCTGCCGTTCCTGTCATCGCATGTGTAGGGTCTTGTAAGACTTTCTGGGAATAAGAACAGCCATTACTTGAATTGTTTCTTTCCTAGGGCTTCCAGGACACACATTTTTTGTATTCGCTAGCACTTAATTTCCGAACCCAATACAATCTCTCTCCTGTTGCATCAGGACAGCCAATGCCCAGGCTTTGCAAGAAGCAGTGGGGCATTTTTGGGGTCCTGTCTTTGTGAGCTATGCAAAGGACATTTTATTTTTTACTTCACAGTTGACATTGGTGAGTTAGGAAAAAATATACCCAAAAAGCTAAGCCTATACAGATCCATGATAAGCACTCTGCAGAGCTGATCCAGCTGCTAGAGCCTTGCATACAATTTTCAGTCTCTCTCTAAATAGTCTTTGATGAAATAGAGTTTTTACAAATAGAAGATAAGGAAGCAGGAGCATCTCCAGTGAGGCACAGCTTGGCATGGCCACTGTCACACCTCAAGTTATCCTCATTAGCCACAGATACATTCACAAAGTCAGCTTTGAAACTGGATCCCTGGTCATTTAGCAGAGAAAGGACAGGAGCCTCACAGCAGTGGTATTAAAATGAAATGAAAACATCCCAAAGAGTCTAGCTCCATAAAATGTAATTCTTTCCTTTGGCAGGGGCTTGTGCAGCTGGGTGTTGCTTTCCTGCTCACATGGATTGATGCAGCTCAAGTTTCCCTATGAATTTCTGCTTCAAACAGCCCATTTCTGGAAAGGGATATTCACCAGAAGCTGCTAGTGGTCTCACCTGCATATCTAACTACAAAAAAATTACATAAAACTATCAGCAGGTCTGAGTTAGCCATGAAACAAGCTCAGCTTTTGCTTGCTTATTTCAGTCATTTATAGTTCAGCCATTTATTAGCTTCCAGTTGGATAGTAATGGTCCATCTCAGTTCAAACTGTACAAAACTGAGATGCAGAAATCAAGAGCAATGAATAAAGCAAGAAAACAAGGGAGAAAGATGAACAGAACACATTGATCTGGAGAACACGGAAAAAGTTTACCCAAAACAAACCATGGTCGAAGCTGGTTCCGTAGGGCATGAACAGACATGGGCTGTGAGTTGACTGAGTAGTTGGGAGGCAACTAGTCCTTCCAGCCCTGGGGATACTGAGGACTGCCAAGGGAATTCCTTGTTGCTGCTCTCTTCAAACCTCCCACATGCATGGGATCATCTTCCCTGCTATTTCAGGAACATATAAAAATGTTGCAGGAGAGCAGGCCTGAAGCTGCTTCACCCTTGAGTCCACACCTCAGTGCAGCTGTGAGGTCTGATTAGTGTCCCCAAGGCAATTGCTGATGAGGATGCAATTCTGATACAAAAGAGTGGCCTGAAAGCTGGCATTCTTCCAGTGTGGTATTCCCAAACTGTTGTTCATAGGCAGAAAACAGGAACATCCTTGACTTTAAAGCAATACCTATTTTAGGAAGGGCAAGATCAGGAGAAGGAGAGCACAGGAATCCATCCTCTAATTGAGGCATACAAATGCAATGGTCATTGCAGACCCATTTCTCCTTGGCTGCAGAGACCTCGGGCTATGGCCACTCCTGGCAGCAGAAGCTGGCATGTAAGTGGCACACAGTGGAAAGGAAAACCTTTAAAACGAAAGAAATTGAATAATTGCAAAGGTCAAAAACCATATACTCAATTAAGCATTGTGTTTGTCAACAAAACCAGTTATCCAAAGGTCCTTTGAATCACAGGTCAGGAGTCCAGAAAAACCGTTATCTCGAGCAATATTAAGGGTATGTCAGTGAAAAGACTGCCATGTATTTATTTCCTTTCTCTGTAGATACTCTAAGCTGTCAGATCCTGCAAACTGGCTGAACATTAATGCCACAAATGGTCAGATCACTACTGCTGCTGTCCTTGATCGAGAGTCAGACTACATTAAGAATAATGTCTACGAGGCCACATTCTTGGCGGCTGACAACGGTGAGCCCAGGCTTCACATTGTTCATGCTTCAATAAGACTCTAATGTGATGCATTAAGAGAAATGATGCCCTGACAGAGTTGTCAGTATAAGTTATCTTTTTCCCAGGTTTTTATGGTCAAAAATGTGAAAGTGGGACGGGAAATTGCTGGAGTAAATTAAATGTGCACAGTATACGGAGAGTGTTATTAAGGGAAAGGGAGGACAAATGGAAAATCGATTTGGGGAGTTCAGTGTAGCGGTGTAGCCTGAACTTAAAAAAAATATCAAAGGGATGTGCACTGCCAGGGCTGCCGAGCACACCAGTCCTGGTAATCGTCCCAGAGGCACTGATCAGAGCGTTCAGGAAGCCCTCCATCAGGAAACCAGAAATAATTGCAGGGGGATGGCAGGAGGGTATTAAAAATAAGCCCACCTGCTGAACTGTCTGTCTGTCTGTCTGTCTGTCATCGGAGCTGATCACTTTCTTGCCACTACCATTCCTGAAATGTGCAACCACCATCAGAGCATCTGGGTGCTGGTGTGCTTTATCACGAGAGCCACTGAGGCCAGTCAGTGTCTTCTCTCTTGGAGAAGTCCTGTTAAAGCTTGCTCTTCTCTACTCATTAAAGATCACTCAGTGCTTTTTGGTCAGATTAGCACTAAGGACCTCAGCACTGGTCTCACTCAAGGCAAGAAGCCCATTGCTGCTGCCCTGTATTTCTCCTCCTAATTCTGTTTAGGAGAAGCTGTTGAATTCTGCTAACCATACCTAAATGTGGCCATGCTGGTATTTCATTCATCAGTTCCTCCAGCTGGAAAAGGCTCTGTCAAGGGCTCAGGAGTTTCCCAGGGCAAGGAGAGGGCCTTCCTTCCCCTCTCCCACCCTCACCTTCCTGCTGCAGGGTGCTGAGCACTCGCTCAAACCAGAGCCATCCTTCAGCAGCACAGTTAAGTCTGGCTTTGGCTGTGAGCACCTTTGTATACTGCTCAAACTCTGTAGGTGCTTTCAGGGCAGTGTTTGTGTTAGATCTTGTCGTCCCTCAGGCTGGAGGTGCCATGGCTACTATGAGCTGATATGGTGGTGCTTGCAGGGCTAATGAAAACTTCCTCCCTCTGGGATTCCACACATCACTTCAGTCATTGCATCCCAGGTCACAGGGGCAAGGGAAACTCCTGGAAGAGTTTCAGGGCTGAGGAGCTGTACCAAGAAGTGCATTTTACCCCTTCTGTGTGCCATGAATGGTAGGACTGGTCCCACTGCCCCATCTTAAGCTTCACCTCCATGAAGGCAGCCAGGGCAGCGAAATCTAAAATATTCTCAAACTGGTCTAGTGGTGGTCACCTGCAAGAGCTACGGGGTAAAACAGGTCAAATGAGTTGGCCAAGGCTGTTCACAAAAGCAGTGGTAGAGCTTGAACCCGTCAACCAAATCCTCACCATCTGACCTTGCAAAGCCTGGGCACTTAGTACCATGTGATGTGGAGTTAACCCCTTTCCTTGGCTTCGGTGCTGATGCTGCAGTGCATCAGCACCTCCACATCCATCCATCATTCAGCAGCTCAGAAAGTGAGGACCTAGATAAGTCTCTTTAGTCTGAAAAATTAATCTATCACTGGTATATTGCAGCCATTAAAATGCACATAAAGCAACACCTTATTTAAAATTCTGTCTAGAGTGCTCAGATAACAGCTAAAGTTTCATCTAGGCTAATAGACTCTTTCCACATTTCTCCCAAGTTCCAGGTTCTCCAGCATCACATACTCATCAAAGAAAGGGTTTAAGTCAAGGGTTTTGGTGGGGATTTTTCTTTCTTTCTTGAAGAAGCAGCGGTGCCTTCTTTCCTTGAAGTTCTTTTTGCTTCTCAGTACACAGAAAAGAAGAAGTTTAGCCAAATGCTCCTTGGACATATTCTCCTTCTCTCCCTGGGTTACAGTGCAAAGATATTCACTTTAGAAAAAGTCTTGGCTGCAATGCAAGGGGCTAAAGGGGGAATCCTAATTGGCAGCACAGTTTTAACCTGCTTTCCCAGGAGAGAGAGTCTCTTGGATCACACTGTCTCCACAAGTGTGGAGCCTGGCAGTGTTTGAACCCTTCAGCCAATCTCACAGTGAAGCTCACAGAACTTAAATATATCATATTCCAACAGATTTCATGAAATATGAAGCTGAATAGGGGAGAGAGAGTCTGTCTGAAGGAAGGAGGTTCCTGCCCCTTCCTCAATATCAGAGGACCTCATGGGAATTCACCCATGGGGCCCAGTACTGTAGGAAAACAGGCTGAGAGCTTGTTCCTGCTTTTCTGCACTCAATGACAGGAAGATGCTGGTCAGCCACAGGCAAGCTTACTTCATTTCTGCCATGATTTGTCAGGACAGTGGCCCAAGTTCCTTAGAAATTTTTGCACAAGCAGGATGGGAGCGACTCCTGCTTGCAGCTGAAGGTGAAAACCTTGGCTTATACCTTTCTGTGGGAATGTGGACTCTGGCAGTGTGAAAAAGGCAGTGAAGGAGAATGCAAAAGTTAAATGTAGATGTAGAGGTTGTGTATTCCTCTTTCTTTTGTCATTAGTATTTCAGTCTTAATTTCAGGGAGCAGACCAGCTTCTCCTCTGGAGTGAGGGGTGCGATGGTAGTCCTCTTCTCTCTCGAGCATAAAATCAAAGGATCCTTCATTTTATATCAGTACCTGCTCTATCTATGTCCCTGCTCTCTCCACATAAGACAGCTGAAATAATGTGAAATGTCCCATGGTTCCACTTGGCCATTTAAAAAATTGTTTGCTTTTCATTTCTCCTGAAACTGCCCCAGAACTGCACTCAGGAGCACAAAGAAACAAAAGTACCAGGACACAGAGCCCAACAATACTCAATAGCCCAACAAAACTGCATTTGTATGTGCAGCAATTGCAGGTTATTTCAGCCACGTGCCAGTTAGTGCCTCTCAGGACTGAGGGTTTGTGTTCAGTTTGTCTCAGAGGTTACAGTGGGAGCCTTGCTTTTATCCCAGGAGATATTCTGGGTAATGTGAAAGCACTAAAATCACTTTGCTTCATCCTGAAAGTCAGTTTTCATGTTCAGCCCCAGTGTCCTGATGGTCTGTCTGTCCCTCCATAACCTTTCAAGGCTGATCAAAAGACATTGTTTTGGAGGGTAAGCACCTACCCCCGTGCTTACTAGATGAAAGGATGAGATCAGTGATTGAAAAACTTATGTGGGAACCATGAAAGAAGCATTTCCAAGGCTCCTTCAGAATTTTCAAGGCTCCCTTGGGAAATGGAGAAAGAAATGTAGGAAGGAAAGTCTGTGGAAGCAGAATTCTGGTGGGGAAGTGGTTTGTGTAGCTTTGTATCTAGCACTGGGAGGAAAAGCCAGGACTGAAAATACATACTTAAAAAATAATTGCTGAAGCAACACTGCCTGAGAAGGGAGGCAGGCAGTGAGCAAGCCAACACAGAGCTGCCAGAGAAATGTGTGGGGAGAGAAGTGAGAAATACTGAGCCATTTCTGGGAAGGCTGTTCTCTCCTGCCAGGACAGGTATTACTTTGTTTAAGTGGTCGTTAGTCAGACAAATTTGGCTCTCCATCAAGAAGGGGCTGGAGGACCAGCACTGCTGTGCTGCAGAATCCTTGCTGGTTGGGATAGATGTAAAGAGGATGGAGAACTGTATATTGGGACATCAGCTGCTGTGGGGGTCAGTGGCATCACCCAACGTGTTCGCTGGTGGTTGAGTCTTACTGTAGGCTGCCAACAAGGACCTTTCACCACTAAAGCTGGAGCTGGATGTGGGACGTGCTGGACAGTTGGGCTTTCTTTGAAGCAACGTAATGGTCTGCAAGTCTGTAACTGGCCAGCAGCTGCTACAGTAAATGCTGACCAAAAGTTTATACTACTTGAGGTTTTTTTCCCTCCAAGCCCTCTTCTTCCTCTTGTCAGCTATCTTTCTAATGTTTTTTCTTCTTCAAAACAGCCATTACCAAGATTTGCAGGAGCAGCTTGGCATCACCTGCTTGTAATTTTAGTTTGACTAAGGACATTGCTGTAGGCTCCAGATCTGCAGGACTCAACCTCCACTTTCTGCGGGAATGAAAAACAACATTAGGAGGCTTGGGGAAGTTTTAATAATACTTCATAAAGCAAGGGACCATGAAAGTGCAGTATGTCCCTAATAAGGTCCAAGGAGGGAAGGTGAATAGCCTGGTTTATTGAAATGGGAAGGCAGAGAGGGGGCTGGTCCGTGGTGTTGTTGATCCCGCTGCTTCCCGAGTGATGGCCACGGGTCCGTGTTTGGCTCTGCCTCCCCCGTGCAGGTATCCCCCCCGCCAGCGGCACTGGCACTCTGCAGATCTACCTAATTGACATCAACGACAACGCTCCCGAGCTCCTTCCAAAGGAGGCACAGATCTGTGAAAAGCCAAACCTGAATGTCATCAACATCACAGCCGCGGACGCTGACATCGATCCAAACGTCGGGCCCTTCGTCTTCGAGCTGCCAAGTGTGCCATCTGCGGTGAGGAAGAACTGGACCATAACACGGCTGAATGGTAAATGGGGCAGGCAATCCTGAGGACATTTGGGCTCTCGTTCACTAATGAGGCCACGTGTGGTTTCCAACTTCCAAACTTTGCTAGGTTTTTTTTATCCGATTTTTGTTTTTTAAAGCGCATTATGGCTGACATTATAGACAAGATAGTTAATCAGGAATGATTTGTATCAGACCTGCAGCATAACTCTAAGAGCCTTGGCACTTGGCTTTTTTTAATGCAGTTCATAATTATGAACAGTTATCAGTGGTGAACAGAGTATAAATCATCCATAATGGCCAAGGGGAAAAAAGCTATTATCAGTCTTCCTTATGTTCCTCCAGTGTAATTGTCATAAGCCACAATCAGGATCAATGTTCATTTCTCTGACCATAATTGCATAAAGGCAGCCTTTTAATTTACCATGGAACCAGGAGGGCTAGGTAAGTGTGAAGATTACCAGTATGTGAAGGATTTTTATATTGCAGCGTGCAACCACAAATGGCCCTAATTGCTCTGCTTATTGGTAGTTTCAGCAGAGGATGGAAAATATCATGGAGTTATGGGCTGGTTTTGGCTTCATAGCTGGTTGCTCTTGCTGAGGTCTGGCAGAGAGTGCAAGACCGGGGGCAACAGCTTGTGCCCTCACAGCTCAGGTCTCAATCCCTGTATCACAGTGGGATTACCTGGCTGAGCGTGTCATCAATGGGCAATGGGCTTCCCAAAAATCCCAAGGTGGGAGGGTGGGTGAAAACAGAACCTGCACAGTGGCCAGGGTCAGCCCAGCCTCAGGGAGCATTATCCATGTGTTACTATTTGCATTTGATGCCATTTTGAACACAGGCAACTGGATTTGCAAATGGCACCAAGGTAGGTTAGTGCAGCAGTGAAAACACACGGTAGTTTGCAGAGCACAGGCTGGTTGTTGGCCAGACTGTTAGGGCAGAAGTCTGAAGCTGTCCTGCCTGGGTGTGCTGCTGAGAGCCTCTTCTTCAGGACTCTGCTCTAGCAGAGGAGCCTGCACAAGTGTGGCTGCAAGGCTCTACCAGTGTCTGTCATCTGTCTGTCCCTCTTGGTCTCTGCAGGTGATTACGCCCAGCTCAGTTTACGGATCATGTACCTGGAGGCGGGTGTGTATGATGTGCCCATCATCGTGACGGACTCAGGAAACCCCCCCTTGTACAACACCTCTGTCATCAAGGTGAAGGTGTGTCCCTGCGACGAGAACGGCGACTGCACCACCATCGGGGCCGTGGCCGCTGCAGGGCTGGGCACGGGGGCCATCATTGCCATCCTGATCTGCATCATCATCTTACTGAGTAAGTGCCACAGGGGCTGGCATGGAATCACAGAATGGTTTGGGTTGGAAGGGACCTTAAAGATCGTCTCGTTCCAACCCCCTGCCATGAGCAGGGGCACCTTCCCCTATCACAGGTTGCTCCAAACCTCATCCAACCTGACCTTGAACATTTCCAGGGATAGTGCAGCCACAGATTCCCTGGGCAACCTGTGCTACTGCCTCACACACTCACAGTAAAGAATTTCTTCCTAATACCTACTCTAAATCTACCCTCCTTCTTGTTTCCCATCCTGTTACCTGTTGTCCTGTTCCTATGGGCTGGTATTTTTGAAGCTCTGTGCAGAGGACAGATCCCTGGGCTTTGGGCTGTGGGATTGGTTCACACATCTGCATTCGAACCTCCTTCACTGCAGCATCAGCAAAATGAGCTCTGCCTGCATCAGACTTGTCTTTCTAAGACTTAGAGTAGCTTTAAAAACTCATTATACTGACAACAACTTGTAGGTAGTGAGTGTGATAGGATTCTCCACATTTTACAGGAAAAGGTGATGCACTCTTCTAAAATCCTGTTGCAGACACCCCCATAGCTCTCAGGTTCCTGGCTGGCTATGGATATACTGGTTCTTGCTGGTTATGAGAGTCTGGCTAGTCCCTTGCAGAGGGACTGTGGTTTTCTGGTTGTTCCAAGGAAAAGAACAACAATAGGTATTCCCATTGCCTGTAAAATTACTTCAGATTGGTTAATCTTGGAGGATTTTGAGTGTTTTTAGAGGAAGAATCCCCAATTTGTCAGGAGTAATGGAAGGCTGGGGGTGGATCACAGAGAAGGGGTGGCCATCCCTTTGCTTGAGGCAAAACTATCCCTTTTACCCAGCAATGCTGTTGGTCCTGAGAATTACCAATAGCCATGTGTGCACACACTTAAAAATAAAAATGATATCATTATAACATCAAGCAGCAGTTGGCACAGTAGGAATGGATAAAAACAAGAGCTGAAATGTACAATGAGGTAAATATTCATCAAGAAACACAGGATGAATCCATGAGACTCTCATTAAAGCTAATAGGAGTTATGGTACTAAATCACATTTAATATTTCCCTCCAATGCGTTTAAACAGAGAGCAGACAGAGCGACGTATGCTACAAATGTCACCTAATGGGGACATGGTGTGGTACATTAGGAGAATGGGTCATCCCTGGGCAAACATCCACCCTCCTGGGCTGGTGAGGGGAATGTACTGGTTTGTAATTGATCTACTGGATCAGGCTGGAGAGTGAGCAAGAAACGGGGGGTTTGTGCAGACCCCACTCCTCACCCAGCCCAGCCAAGCCCATGGAAGCATCCCTGTGCCCAGCCATGATGGGCAATTCCTGTCCTTCGTTGGGTGTGGGGTCCCAGTAGAAAAATGCTTTGGCTGCTCCCTTCAGCAAAGGGGGTTTTGTGGTGAATTCACACCCAGATGAAGACACAGTGTTCATCAGCCCCACCACCTTCAGTACACTGGGGAGTGTGCTTAAGTTTGCACTGGAGCCGCAGAAGTGATTAAACATAGGTCTTCTTTTTGCTGCTCTTGTATAAATCCAGTGCTAAAATACGATTTAAAACAGTTGAAAATCCTATTGACTGAAATTAACTTCAGCTGAAGGACATTTGATTTAAGAGATTCTTCTTTCCATTTTCAGATACATTATCCCATTTTAAATTACGGTTTTTATTACAAAAGCTTATTTTTACATTCATTGTAATTCTAATTGACTTTTTTTTTATCTTCAAGAGCTGCAAAGCACTGTATCAGTGATGAAAAATGTAATTTGCAATGAGCAGTTTTACTGTTACATCCTCCCAGTGTTTTGCCTCCTTTCTATCTGTGTCGTATCATGACCTCTAAACAATAGCCTAGAAAAAGGCAGATGCGGGATTTTTTTGTGCTATTTGTCCATTTTAGAGTCAGCAGGTCAAAGTTTGATGACTTTAAAAGGAAGAAGCAGCAAGGGGACAGATCCAAGATTGCTCCTGTGAAGGAAGCTTCTGCCTTTACCTTTGCTCAAAGAGGTTTTTTTCTTCTTCTTGCTACCTGATGTATTAGCTGCACAAATAACACATTTAGAAGAGCAATGCAGTAAAAAATTGTGAAAGGTGAAGACAATAGATTTCAAGGAAAACTACATGCAGAGTGAAAATGGGTCTAACAGCAGTAATAGCACTTCCCATTCCGCAGAGTGAATAAAAGGAAGGAGAGTGCACTACATCCACCATTGACACTCTGAAGGTCTTTTTTTTTTTTCCAAGGTAGCTGTAAAGGCATTAATGGCACAGTTTTTTCCACAAGTGCATGAAAAAAGTATCATTTGAAAAAAAAAAAAAAGAAATAAAAAGATAAACCTCGGTAGCCATTATAATATTGTCTTTGTGGACCAGTCAGGTATCTTGTTGTGAGAGACTTGAAAAGGAACAACGAGAAAGGGACTTCAATAGTCTGCTAAATAGCTGAGGTTTTATATTGCAGATAAGAGTTACATTTTCTTTCCTTTTCTTTTTTTCTGTCTTGAATAGATGTGGGATAAGCCTTAAAGAAATGCTGAACTATCTGGAAACAATTCTGTTGGCTGGCAGGCAGGGATGGCTGCCAGTTGGCACACAATGGCAGTAATGAGCTGCCCGGTCCTTTTCCTCTCACTTCACTGAATTCCTGTTGTGCATAAACACTTTGGTGCTGGGAGGAAGAACTCCTAACCACCTCCTCCCATGGAGGGGCTGCAAACTGGGCTGCCCAGCCCTATTCCCAGGGTCTGCTCTCAGCAGAAAACCACCAAGTTTGGGATCTCACATCCTGCCTGGGTTTGCTTGTGTTGGCTGCAGTGGTTTGGCACAGTTGAGGATTGACTCAGGTGAAATGAGCCTGGGCCACACGTTCCCACTTCCACTGTCCGCCCATCGCTCCCTTCTCCTGCAGATTGCCACTTTTGCAGCTTGTTGTGGGGCTTGCATGGAGAATGGAGGGGAAAGCAGACAGTGGGAGGTGTAACTGCGTCAGCTGCCCAGGCTTAACTTCATTTTTAATTACATTATTTGCAGCTACTGAGTACGAGAATGAAAACGAACATATTAACAGGTTCTTGAAGAAGACAAGGTCTGGCTGCCTTATGTTAATGGAGACTTCAGTTCCCATATCGACTTCCATGCAGTAATTCCCAGGGAGCACACAGCCCCTGGGATGCATGTGGCCCTTTGGAGGGTGAGATTGTGGAGCAGTGAGCCAGTGTTCCCTGTGGGTAAAGCTGTTCAAGAAGGGAAAAATTTCTCATGATTCAAGAACTGTTCATCTGTCCCTGTTACTGTACTGAGAGAGATTAGCCAAGCCTGGCATGCAGATGCTGATGCCTGAGGAGCTTGGCTGTGTACTACCAGATTTGCTCTCCCTTGTTCTGCAAAGCTATCCCTGCTTTCTGAAAGGATTTCAGATGATCTCAGATCTGCTTTGCAAGTGGATGGCCAAATGCATGTGCTAATGTCCTGGCTAATGTGATCTTGGAAGTCTAAAGAGCTTCTCTCATGGACCAAAGAAGAACATGAGGGAGTCCAAATTGGATTACAGGACCTAGTGTTGTGCAGCCTCCCCAGACCAGTCTTGCCTGGCCAACTGCAGACAACAGCAAAGTGACTGTCACACTCAGGGCTTGTGACCTGAATGGGCTGAACCTGTGTCACACTGCTGGAACAGCCCCTTGTGCACAGGTGTTGGGTGTCTGTACCCATTTCCTTGTCTTGCAGCTCTCTTCCCTCTGTCTTTATTTTATACCCCTGAATAAAATAAAGGTAGAAATCTAATCCTAAAAATTCAGGATTTTTTTTCAGAAAGCTGCAGTTTTCACACTTTCTGTTTTCTTTTCCTTTGATTGTGTGTTTTACTCCTGATGAACATCATCTCAATCAGCGTTGGTGACGGGATCTTCAAGAAATGTTTGCAGTGGAGACCTGTCACAGTATTCACGTCTCTCACTGATCTCTTCTTTAAAAATCAGAACATGCAGTATGATAACATTTTATTCCTCCTGCCAGCAGCCAGTGAGGTTCTCCATAGCGGACAAGAGCAGGTGAGGTGTTAGGACACTCCGGCCTGGCCTCGTGCTGTGGGAGGTCCCAACTCACCCAGCTTCTTCCCCGTTGCAGCCATGGTTCTGCTGTTCGTGGTGTGGATGAAGCGCCGGGAGAAGGAGCGTCACACCAAGCAGCTCCTGATCGACCCCGAGGACGACGTCAGGGACAACATCCTCAAGTATGACGAAGAGGGAGGTGGAGAGGAAGACCAGGTGAGAGCAGTCTGTGGGTTGTGGCCAAAGAGGATCTATGCAAACTGTACTCTCAAAAAGGCAGAAACCACATTATTTTCACTACAGCACGTGCAAAGGGTTGTGTTCCCCTTGTTCATGACCAGGCAGCTTTACTGGCTTCCCTAGTGTGGTGTGGACATTGGTGAGAGCCAGCAAGTGCAGGAGATTCAGCATGTCACTGGGACACCTTCCTGTGCAAACAGGACCATGCCAGGAGGCTGGTGCCACATTGTGGTGGTGCATCCAGCTCCCCCCACTCTTTCACGACACACATGGATTTTTCTACCCCCTGCACAGCTTCCTGGGGAAAGGACTATAAATCAATCCATTGACACTCATCTTCGAACAGTATTTCTGTTACTTCAGACATTGAAATTGTGTATTTTATCATTCCCCATCAGAGACTGTTGTAAAACCAGCCAACAGCTGCCACCTTCCCCAGCCCTGTGGCTGCAGGCACTTGGCTTGGCTTGCTTGAGCCCTGAGCTTCTGTGGGTTTTCCCTGCATCTACTTAATCATCTCTAATGTGCCTTTAATTTCTTTTAATTTCTGGACATGGTTCGTGAGAAATGTCCAAATAGATCTGAGGGTTTTCTCTGTCACCATGGAGCACGCAGTGGCGAAGCTCTGCTGGGTGACAGAGCCCTGAGCCACAGGCTGCCTGAACACGTCAGCTTTTCTGCAGTGCTGCTTCTCACAGACACCGAGGCTGATGTTGCACGAAAACTTCTCTGGCCTGCATTCCTGGGGTGTGCTTTTCCACTGCTACTGATCTGTTTCCTCTGCTGAAATAGCAAAGTTTGGTCACTCATGTTTAAGTCACTGGTTTTTTACTCCTGCCTAACGCGAGTAAAGAGCCCAGGACACTCTCAAACATGATTGTCGTGCAAATTGTGTGACTCTACACCATATAATGGTTTTATTCTTGCTTGTTCAATTGGACTGCATGGTTCAAGGTCAGTGACCAGGGCTGGTGCTCAAGGAGCCCATGAAACCACTGCAGCACATGCTGCTGTGGAGCTCCCAGTGGTATCCGAAGGCAAGCAGGTGAGCCTGGGGAGAGCTGCCATGACAAGCTGAGGCAGGGACTTACCCGAAACTTGGGAAGTTCTTATTCCACAGAAAAATCCTCGAAATTAGCATTTCTTTTTTCTTGTCGCTGTCAAGTTATTTATAAATATTGCTCCTGGAGTTTCAATCATCCCCGTCTGAGCACAGGGATAGTTTTAGCAGTAGAACAAAGTACTGTTATAAGCATTCCAACTAGCTGAAGTATCTGGTTTCAGGCAACTACACTGTAGGCTTAAATATTTTAGAAAGGATTCGTTAAAAATAACACCAAAGGAAGAACAGCAAAACACCATTACCTACATGAATACATTTTTAATGAAATATTACCTGCTTCTCATTGCATGATAGAAACCTATTCTGTTGGGATTTTTCACAAGCAAAAAGAACATAATTACTTTGAAAGGCCTACATGCATAAATGCAATACACATTTTAATGTTTTTGCTTCTGCAGAAATGTAATTGCAATAATATGTCTACCAACACTATGTCTCTACATTATATTATGTATTTCATCAAAAAGTTAAGGATACACCTCTGCACATGCACACAAAAGCCAGGTTTTTATCCTAAATATTTAGACACTGTGTGAAATATTCAGAAAATATTTAAATACTTGATTTAACTTACATTACAAGATGCACTCTTAGGAGGGCAATTTTATGAGCTACTCCGAGTTCAGGTTCATCTGTAATTTAGATAGAGGAGCTGCATGCCCAGGGATAAGATTTGCCCTCAAACTTCAGCGGAAACAGAATTACACCTCTCAACTTGTTTGCACATTGAGTGAGTAGATGATCTGAATAAAAAGCCCTTGATTTCACACTATGCCTTCCCATTTGTCACAGGATTACGATTTAAGCCAGCTCCAGCAGCCAGAGACTATGGATCACGTGCTGAACAAGACACCCGGAGTCAGAAGGGTGGATGAAAGACCTATTGGTGCTGAACCACAGTATCCTATCAGACCAGTAATCCCACATCCAGGGGATATTGGTGATTTTATTAATGAGGTATGTTCTGTAGGGTGTCCTGTGTCACATCTTAAAAGCTTGAGCAGCCAGCTAAAGTCAGGTTTCCCTGACTGAACGGAGCAAGTGATGCTGTTGCTCACACCAGAAGTCTGATGCAAGCCAGGGGAAGTATTGGCACAAGCAAAGGACTTGGCTTAATAAAGGCATTGAACGTGTAAAATCCAAAGTGGAAGCAAAAGGCCCAAGATTTCTGTCTTGTGGATATCACAAACACCATGCTTTTCAGCACCCAGGCAGAATGAGCCATTTCTGGCTCCCGAACTTGTAATTATTTCAGCAGTCTGTGCCTTCCTCGTAAGCTCTGTTTGGTGTAAAGCCTCAAAGAGTTTGCAGCACAGAGAGGCTCATCTCAGATCAGAGAGGGTTTCTTTATTTTATATTCGATTACTGCTCCTTTATCTGCTTGTAGAAAATATCTGTCCATTTGGTATTTTCTTATCTCGTTTTTACTTTTGAGTGATTGAGTGGTTACAAACCAATCAATGCATTATTTCCTTGGAGACAAAGCACACCATCCATTTCCTAAGCCAGAAAAATAAATGTTACAGCCATTTAATTCTATTATTACATGCATTTCCTGCTGTGCTTTTTCTCATTTTCATCATTGAAACCCCGTTTTCCTTTGTTCCTGCCCATCCTTCAGTCACATTTATACACATCCATGCTCGTGAAGACTCGCTGTTACACACATCCCAGCTCTTTCCACTGCAGTGAAACCAGCTCCATGTCCCCACACTGAGGCTGAGGGTTCTGAAGGTGGAGCGTTTTGCTTTATTGCAGGTCTATTCCACCAGGCTTTTCCTGATGCTGGGCTGCAGCAAAGCAATTCTTTTTCTCCATATCCCGAGGCCATTTCCGTGGCCAGCCTACGCTGCTGCCCACAACGCACAGGAGCAGTGATGCTTCCCAACCCTCTGCCCAGGATTTCACACCCCATGTCTGTCCTAATTGCAGAATTTTGCTTGGAGTGATTTCTTTTATTTTGTTTTCCTAAGGGAAAGAAAATCATCAGAATTAAAATAATTGTAGGAGAGGAAAGGTGCTGTTCCTTCTTTCATTGGAAATCTCAACAGACAACACCAAAAGGGACCCACTGGCCAGAACACAAAGCTTTCCAAATCTGGAGCTGGATGCTGAGAAACAAGCCCCTTCCTACTCCATTCCACTTTTTCAGAGGCACTGGGGTTTACTGGGTTTTCTGCTGGGGGTCAGCTGGGAGGGCTGTACCTAGAGGTGCATCTGGGACCCTCATTTTCTCACCATCCTCTTTTTAGCTGCGCTGCAGGGATCCCCAGCAGCCCAGCAGCCCAGACACCCTTCCTTAGCACCATAAAACCCCATGGTGGGTATTAACACCGTGCGTTTGCCCCCCCAGGGCCTGCGGGCAGCAGACAACGACCCCACAGCTCCCCCCTACGATTCCCTGCTCGTCTTTGACTACGAGGGCAGCGGCTCCACCGCCGGCTCCGTCAGCTCCCTCAACTCCTCCAGCTCCGGGGACCAGGACTACGACTACCTTAACGACTGGGGGCCCAGGTTCAAGAAACTGGCGGACATGTACGGGGGAGGCGAGGAAGATTAAACTGACCTCATGTTATTTAAAAAAAAAAAAAAAAATTTAAAAAAAAAAAAAAGGAAGGAGAAAAAAAAGAAGAAGAAGAAGAAGAAAAAAATTTAGGAAAAAAGAAAAAGAAAGAACAACAAACCCACAGACGACAACGTTAACAAAAAGAGCCGATGCAGGAGCAAGAACTGTACAGATGTGGCAGCTTTTTTAATTAATATCCCCTGCTGACTGTATTGTTATTTTTAGTGGCGATATAGGAGGTTTCTTTTTTTTTCTTTTCTTTTTCCTTTCCATTTTTTTTTCTTAGAATATTGAGCTGTCTCGCATGAACACTTGTCTCTGCTGCAGGTTTCTTTTTGTTATTTCGGTTTTTTAATGTCAGCTGGGATATTGCTCGTTTACCTGCTTTATGACTAAAGAGAGTGAAAGGCACTCTGTCTTAACTTGAATTTCTTAGAACAGAAGCACTGTTTTTAAAATATATATATATATATATATTTGAAAGTGCCTTTTGGTGCATGTGTCAGATTCCCTTCAATCTCAGGAGTGATGAAAACAAACATACAACCATCCTGGGCAGCACTCCCTGTGACCCTAAGCCAGTTCTAGCTGGGAAGGAGTTAACAAAAAGGAACTGTGGAGATTGTTTCTTTTTTTGCCTTTTTTTTTTTTTTTTTTTTTAAGGGGGTGACTCATTCTGGGGTCAAAAGAAGGGGGGGAGGGGGGAAGATGTTTTGAGTCAAAATCTTAACAGCCATCTTTAAGCCTCGGCAGGTGGTGAACTAGTCATCATGTTGTATATAATTCAGTGTTATCAGATGCAAAATACCGACCAGGGCCTCTGCCGGGCCCTGGTCACACTCAATGTAGCTGCATAGAACTATAGCATTGATAAAGCCTTTGGTTATTGCAACAGAAATCTCCAACAGCCCTTGCCTAAACCCTACAAAGTAAATCGTGACATGACCAAAGGCCCATCTGTTTGTTTTTATGCTATCGCCGTGTTTTGGCTCCCACGACCTCTCGAGTGATGTCCGTACCAGCTGGGTGAGGTGGTGGTGTCCCGCATCCCCGAGGATGCCCAACACTGGTGCTGCTCTCCTGGGGTGAGGCAAGGGTTTGTGTGGCGGCTCCGCTCGAGGCCGAGGCAGTGCGCAGGACAGGGACAGGTTATCCACACTTTTCCCATCCGTAAGTATGGAGTTAGTGTAGTATCACATTAATGCCTTGGAGCATTAGTAGCCAAAGCTCAACAACATCGTGTAACTCAGCTAATGTGTGTCCTTTCTATTCGATGGGTAGGCGCTGCTATCTGTAGTAAATGTGTTTTTTTGGAGAAGAAGTGCAACAAGGGCCTATTAAGTATCTTGTGGTTAATATGCTCAAGCATTGCCAAGTAAGCAAGAGGTTTCGCAGCATCCAGGCGTAATTCAACATCAGTATTATAAATGGTAGCAAACTACCTAGTTTATATGTAGGGTCAGTTTAACCAATAACAAATAGTTATTAGCTTTTTTTATTACATTTTTCCTTTACTGATTTGGACTAGTGGGTTTATGTCTAATGTTTGTAAAATGATTTAGACTGCATGGATGTGTAATATAAACCACATTTAATGGATTATGAGCCACTTAATTAATGTGCTATGAAATCTTGGATTACCTGTGTTTTATATTCTGCAGACGATTTTGCAGTGGGTTCGCTAAAACTTGTAAAAGTGCTTAGATATATTTTCATTTAAATCCAAGAATGTGCACAGTATTGGAAGGTGATTATCCAGGGGATAATCATGCTTTTTTTGATATCTCTATTAATTCTCAAGTTGAATGCTAAGAGTTAAAGGGGGGGCGGGGGGAGCGAGCGCGTGCACACGAGAGCGAGAATGAGAGGACGAGAGCTTGCGGTGGTGAGTGGGCGCCTTTCAGAGGGTATACTGGGCTGCAAGATCGTCTCTATAGATTTTTGAAATGCTCCTAGTGCATTTTATATTTCATTGTATCATATTTTCTATAAAATGCAATTTCTGTAAATTAATGAGCATTTGAAATGTGTCTTGTATGAAGTGGAATGTGGTAAAAAGTCTGCCCGAGGGGACTCACTGGTATGTTATTAACTACCAAGGATGCGATCTTTCTTTTTGTCTTGGTTGGTCAGTTGGTCAGTCAATGGGTCAGTTTGTCTTTCACAGCTCGGAGAGCAAACTCACTCTCACCCAAGTTTCCTGAGGAAACCAGGAGGCAATGGCTTGGACCTCGGGAGAGGGACGGCACCCATGGCAGCAGCAAGGCGAGGATGTCGCGCCACAGGCATAGGCTGGCAGCACGTGCCTTGGCCAGGATGAAGGGCAGTGCCTGGCAAACTGCCAGCACCTGACACTTTTCCAAATTCTTGTTCCATAGTTGTGAACTCAGTTGTCTTGTGTGACCACTATGAAAGTCTTAGTTTGTTCCTGCCATGTGCCATCCCCCTCCTCCTGGCCACTCTTGGCAGTCCTCACAGCCCCCCTTCCCAGCAGCCTGGCACAGAGGCTGCATGGCCCCCCAGCCTCTGCTCTTTACTCATGGCATTCTTGGTTCTTCCCCTTTTCTTTTGGAAAAGCCACAGGCTTGAAGTATTTCACCATCTGGGCTTTGCACCTCTACAGAAGCTGCCCAGGCACAGCAGTGGTTAATAATAAAAATGAATTTGGTGTTTCTTGGTGCCCGTCGGCGCGTTGTGTCTGTCACCATAACCTCACCACCAACACAAGAGAAGGATCAGCTCCAGGGCGGGGTCATCCCAGTAGTTCTCCATCCCTTGGGTTGTTGCCACTGCCTGCCAGCTCTGTGCAGCTCCTGGGATGCTCGTGTGGATCCTTCAGTGCCAGCCAGGTCTCCGCTGTAAGCCGTGCCCTGCAATCCACCCGGCACCACTTACCTGGGAGCAGCAGCTAAATCCCTGCTCCACAGCACTCAGTGTGTGACATCTGCTGCGGCTTTGGCTGGGATGATGGATTTCAGGTAGGGAAGGGGCTGGCAGTGATGTGGGACAGTGGCTGCAGGGACAGCGGCAGCGTCCGTCGTCCCTCTGTCCCCAAGGGACCTGCCATGCAGTGAAAGGAGCTGTTGTCAGATTTCAGCTTGTCGAAACATTTCAGGTTTTTAAGAACATTTATGCAACCTGAGTCCAAACAGAACTGTTTGAGTGATTAAAAATAAACCAACCTGTTTCCATTGGAGACTTTTTTTTTAAATCAGCGGATATTTTTTTCTGCAGCATTTGCAATCCAGCTGTTCCAGCCCCACGAGCCTATAAATCACACCAACCACTTTAGTGTGTTTTGACCCAATTCTGCTCAGTCTCCTTCTGCAGGACCTCCTCCTTCTTTTCCTCCTCCTCTTCCTCTTCCTCCTTCTCCTCCCTGCATCCTCCCCCACTGAGTTTTACAGCCCCACAAGGAGCAGCAGCATCTCCTTGCAGTGGGACCAGCAGAAGGTAAGCAAGGGGCACATCCAGCAATGAAAACAGATTGCTTTTTACAAATCTGTTTGCTTCTTAATGTTACTGATGGTTTGTAGCCCAGCTAAGAAAATTTATATTAATCCAAGGGGTCCCATTGAGAAGGTGACTGTACCATCACTCTGTCCCCCTCTGATCCTCGTGGATGTGACACGGTGTTGCCAGTTGCAGCTGCAGGTGACAATGACTTGCAAGGAACTGGGGTGGGCAGACAACCACTTTGGCTGGTGTACAGTTGCTGTTTATTCTTACAGCCCACAGGTGATGAGTGCATTGAGACCAGAGTCCTTGTTCCCTGACCAATCTAGACTAAGGCATTAAACTAAAGAAGTGGTCCCCCTTCTTTGCACACCACAAGACTGTGGGGAAGGACTTGGTTTCAGGCAGGTGGAGGGGATCCCATCCTTGAAACACCACTGTCCCACCCTGTAATCCTGTACCCCTTAGCACTGCCAGGGCACACCACCACAGCTCTCCCTGCTGACTACGGGATGAGGACGGTGAGTTCTCAGGACATTGAGGCATGCTGGACACCTCTGGTGGCCTCCCTACCTCCTAAGGTTGAGGATTGCACATCCCCAGGCCAGGGACTGTGCAGGTCCAATGTCACTGCTGTACCGACAGCCACCTCCAGCAGAGCATGACCACAGCTCTGGTGGTCTGCTTATCATGTAGCCTAATAACTGGGAGACCCATCAGCATGGAAGTGCTTTGCAAGGCAAGGAGGACATTCATCAGGTAATTAGTGACAGTAAATAGGCAAGTCTGTCCTGGGTGTCCTACACACTAGTCATAGTTCCGCTTCTGGTTTTGCATTTCCTTTTCCTTATTTTTT